CGCGATTTTTCTTCGTTTCTATCATTTTTAAGCCTAACGCTCTACGTTCAGCATTGGCACCCGCATGTTTAACTTTACACTAGGCTCTGATGAAAGCCGAGACTTAGGTAGCAATGCAGTGAAAATCACGCATCATCCGTCTGAACTGAGAAACAACTGAATTTCTTTCCATACAGATGAATTACCACTCCATACGGAAGCATAAAAAAAGTTTTAGCGCTATCACTAACGACGTTGGAACAACTTTTAGTTGATGAAATGAGCCAACCGTGGCAACAAAAGAAGCTATAGCTGGAAACAAAACTTATAGAGGTACGTATTTTGAGTTCATTTCGTTAAACCAAAGACAGAAACATGAAATGATTCATGACAACGGTAATAGCTACACAAATCACCCGGTCTTCGCTTGTATCAGTGGTCATGAAATGTGGCGACCATCGAGAATTTACCTCGTCCAAAATATAAACTTACAGAATATGGTAGAACAAATATCGTTCAGCCGTGATTTGATTATTTTTGCAAGCGAAGTACAACGTAAGAAAAAACGGTCAAAACAAGTATGATTATGCCTCAGAGTACAGGCTACAGCGAAACGATCATCGCACCCCACGTGAAAATGTATGTACAAATTACTTTTCTGAACTAGATTTTGAACTGATCGGTCCGTCAGATGTGGAAATGTGCTGCCAAAGACCTGAACGATTCACTTCTTCGGAAAGATCGATCGATTCCAGGCGACGCTTTGGTTCGCCCATGTTCTGCAACGGGATGCGCATCACGTTGCCCGAAGTCAGAGGGATGTGCAGGTTGCTTTCGGTCTGCACCGGCTTCATCTTGCTGATCGCGGCGTTTTGTCGTTCCTGAACAAAACAAACGACGATCAAACGATTCCACGTCTCGTCCTTTCTTACCTTTTCTTTCTTCTTTTTCGCGTCCTCCCTCTTCCTTAGCGTTATCTCAGGCATCTTGTCGTCGAGATACTTCAGTTCGCGTTCAGTAAATATAAACTCCATCAACTTCCTCACTCCGACCATGACCACAAGCTGAAAGCAGAATACGATTAAATATTTTTAATCTCGATCGCTGGGAGAAGTAAACAAACAGCTGCACAAACATTAATTCACAAAACCGTAAGACGTGCAGC